TCATGACAAATTAAATAAAATCAATACACTTTGCACACATGCACCTCTAGGGTTAACCCACACTTGTTGCCTTGGATGAAAACAGTCATGTCCCTCGAACGTGAGATGTTTTAGCAAAAGACCCTCGATTAAAAGATCATAGTCCCTCAATGACCCTTCAATATTGTCTTCGGTAAATGATCTTAGTCCCTTACAAATAATTGTTAAAACATTTTACAAGTTGCCTTCTATGACTGTACGACGACCAACGCGTGTCCCTCACATCCAATGATATGGTTTTGTACTAACTAATGGTAAGATAACAATATCTAAAGGAGGAGGAAAAGAACAAAGACTTTCTTTTGAGTAGGTAGAACTTTCATAGTTGCTTGCTCATAAACATTTCAAAACAAACATCTTTTTAAACACACCAACACCTTCATGAAACATTTTCAAAAATCAACACTTTGTATACGTTTTCGCCAAAACGAGAAACATTACAAAGTTCGCCTAAACGAAGGCACTTTTCAAAAATACTTTCAAAATAAATCACAAGCACATTTACAAAGCATTTCAAAGTGAGCTAGCAACTAAGAGCCCGTAGGTAACTACGGATGAAAAGGGTGCTAACACCTTCCCTTTTCATAACCTACCCCCCGAACTCAAGAAAATTTTCAAAAGGTTTTTCCTGTTCTTTTCACCCTTTCCTTTATTAGATAAAAGAAAAGTTGGTGGAGACTCTTGCTATCTGCAACATTTACGATCAAACACAAAACATCCAAGTCAGTTCTCCCACCGTATTACACCTTCTAACTTAAGAAAGATAACCAAGAATAAAGTATTACAAAAAAATACAAAAGACTTAATTGAAATAAGAAATTTGCTGACTAAATTATTCAAGGTCTTAGTATTCTAACAAGGAGAATCCCATCCTTTAATAGTGACATAATCCATGCAAAATGTCCGACTTTGACAAAAATTGAATGATTTTTAAAAGCATAAGATTAATGTTTCTCCATTAAAGCTAATATCTGAATCTTGTATGAAATAAGATCCAATCAAATCTTTATCTGACTGATTTGAAAAATATAGAATCTTTAGCAAACGAATTCAGATTAAAATTCCCTTTATCAAATAAAGGCTATATAAATTATATTTATGATTAAACTAAAAAGAAAAAAAATCTTAAAACAAAACATATATGCGAAAATCAATCAGTCAAGAATCTTGACCGCCAAAAACAATCTAAGATAGAATTTCTCACATTAAGTTATAAAAACGTGTTTAACATGTTTCCTACGAAAATTTACTTATCAAATGTAATAACATTAAGTGTAATCAGAACACTTCTCAACATTTAAGGCAAGACAAAAGATGGTATTAATGCTCGTCTGGATTTGGGTTTGATGGGTATATGAGAAGAGTTAACTCCATAATATATAGGTAACAAGACATATTTGCCTCATGCCTGCTATATTTAGGTCTATCGATTTATTTGGAACAACCTTTAATGGAGACACTTAGGTCTATCGGTTTATCGCAAAACACAGATAATAATAAATGCATTAAAAATATGGAAGTTATCGATGGAAGCGGAAAAAGAAGTAGTTCAGTTGCAAAAGGAAGCACAAAAGACTTGGAAGTTTACGATGTTCAGAGATTGTTACTCATGGTTTTGAAAATGGCTGACACACATTTGGAAATGAAATTAAGTCATTGTGTGAGTGTCACTAATTTTTATATGTCAGCTAAGTGTATCAGAGAGTTGTTGGTGGGTTTTCATTGGCTTGACGTGTCTACTCTGCAAGTTTGGTGCACGTAAGTATATTTTCTTTTTTTATTATTGTCAATATATATTAATATATTATATCTCTCATCACTTTGATTCTAATGTTTATTTTAAAATTATTCGGGTATATTCATCGTGTATGTATTGATAATTCCACATCAGAAGTATATGGATTTATGGATCCTGCTAGGTGGATATATGTTGATAATGGGTTGAAATCTGAAGCAGATGTTAAAAAATACATACTAGATAAGTTACGTGACGAAAACAAAGTGTGTCACTTACTACCATTAATTCATAGGTAAGTTTTTTATGAAATTGTGTTTTATATTTTTTAATTTTGATAACATAGATATTTTATGTGACTTTTGTGTTTCCACACACACGTACAGATCTCATTTGCAATTAATAGTCATTTGTCCAAGAGACAATATTATGATCGTCTTTTATTAACTTTATCGGGAAATTGATCAAATCACGAAGAAAATTATTACAAAGTAAGTTTGTCTTTGTTATAATATATTATATATCCTATATACATAAATTGTTACAAAAGTAATTTCATATTTTATGTTGTTTTATATAGAATTTTTTTCTGAATTAGTGCTTTTGGAGTTCATCAAATGGAAAATAGAAATAGAAAAAAGGCTACATGACTTCATCCCAAAGTAAGTGTGATGTAAATTATAATTATATATTTAATTTTATGTTAAGTATTCACTAATTATGTCATTCATTTGTAGACAATTCTACAACATAACTCTAATGATTGTGGATACTATGTGATGAAAAATATGTTAGATATTGTCTCTGCCAATATAATCGATTCTTGGATGCAGGTAATAAAAAAATTACTTTGTTATTTACTTTGCGTTTTGCAACTTAATGTGAATTTCCAATGAATAACTCTATATTGTTATTTACATATTGTATGTATTTGATGACCCAACAAAATTAACACAAGATGACTTGTATGATTTGCGACTCTATTGGGAAAAATATTTCTTTGAGTTATATAAAAATTAAGTTTTATCTAGTGAGTTATATAGAATTGTCTATACATATCTGATTTGAGTTTCTTGATTTTGGTGTTGTCTGCTGATGTTAATTGATGTTATTATTTATTTGTCAATATATGTGATTTTGGTGTTGTCTACCGAAACTACAACTCATCTTCTTGTGAATTGCATGTTAGTATTTAAAGTGTGGGAAAAGACTTATAAATGGTTGGGTATTTTTGTATAATTTCTCTGGTTTTATTATTGTAGTAGTCCACCGTGTGTAAACTTCCTTATAATTTTGTACACTTGTGTGTATCCTAGATTAGTATTTTTATAAATCAATTGTTCATTTTGAAGAATATATATACATGTGTATTCTAACTATTTGGTGCAATGAAATTACCCTTCACTGATTAGAAAAATATGAAAATAATGACCTAAATGTGGTCTATGTGATGCGATAAAGATATGAAAAATAGCGACCTAAATATGGTCTTGTGATGTTGGAAAAATATGAAAAATTAGGTTTAAAAAAAATTACATTACAGGGAACCCACATTGATTCCATTAAAAAAAACAAACATATTATATTGGGTCATTGAGACAACCAATGTTAAAACCTATATATTACATCAGGCCATTAAGGCAATCAATGTTAAAAACTATATATTACATCGGGCCAGTTAGACAACCGATGTAAAATATTGCGTATATATTTTTTTTAAATTGTGTTTTTTTCACATCACACCTAACATCCAACCATGTGGTAGGTGAATTTTTCACATCAGATTGTTGTCTGATATAAAATGTCTTTGATTTACTACATCGCTTGGATTCACATTGGACCCAGACACGATGTAAAATATACTTTTCGACCGATGTAAAAAGACTTTCCCGCACTAGTGAGCGGAAGAAACCTTTTTCAAATGTATAATATCTAGAAATGACAAAAAAAACCATAACGATGGATACCCGCGGATAAAATCTGTCACGGACACAAGTAAGATGTCAATAATAGATACCCACAGATAAAATAAACGGATATTTAGTTACCCGTTTACTTACGAGTACAAATATGGATTTGATGGTAGCGATACTCATGAGTATCTGTATCCGTTAATAATTAACAAAATTACTTAAATATTAATTTATTTAATCTAAAATTATTATTATTTTGTTGAGTATACTATAATTATTTATAAAAAGAAGAAATAAAATGAATATAATTTACCATTATTATTATTATTATTATTATTATTATTATTATTATTATTATTATTATTATGTGTTAAATATGAAATATTTTGTTGTCTTTAAAAAGAATAAAAAATTTATTTTATTATATATTTTTGAAAATATAAAAGTATTCATGAATATCTCTTTATTATCGTAGATATTTTAAAACTTATAAATATCTGTCTAACAGATATTTAGATAGATACGAGACGAGTACAAACATCATATTTATTAAATAGAACGGATAACAAAAAAATAATACCACATTTATGACTATTCATTCTCATCTCTAATACCATATTAAATGTACTAAATATCTAAGAGAGAGTATCAACCTAAAATCTTCTTTATTGATTGAAGGAATTCATTGAATTGCATAATGAGATTGACTGATAGTTATTTATACAAGTGATATAGAGTTAGTTGTTCTCTAACTAACTGTCCTAATCAATTTAACAAAACTTAAGAAACATTTCCAAAAAGAGTTCTTCTTTGGTTCACTTTGATATAACCTAATCATCCTATTAATGTTTATTATTTTGGTAGATTTGATTGATGCAACACTTTTTCTTAAATAGTCGGGATGCCAACTTAAAATAAAACAAGTTTTAATAATTTCTGTAAAAAAATTTAGTATGACTAAAACGTAGGTCGAATCGAAGATTTCTGTCTCTCAATCTTTGGCACACAAAAATGCTCTGGACTCATGTCGTGGTTACCAGCCACGTGCCCCTAAATTCCTAAACCGCCATGCTTATATCAAAGTTACCTTTCTGACTGACACATGGCAAATACGTGTAATGTGCTTAACTACAATATCACCGTCCAAAATTCACCACGTGTCCTATAATTTGACACGTGTTGGCGAGGTAGTTTGTGGCACCTAAATCTATATAACGGATAAGAATGCACTGTGTTCTTAATCAACATCACCCAGCAAAAAACAAAGCTAGAAGTAGAAAAGAAAAACAAATTGATCAGCGAAGAAGTTGAAAATGCAGGGAGCAAAGAAAGCCGGAGAGACCATTAAGGAAACAGCTGCCAACATTGGTGCTTCTGCCAAATCTGGCATGGAGAAGACCAAAGCAACCGTTCAAGAAAAGGTATCCTTAACTTCGTTCTCCTAATATCAACTTATTTTTCCCATTTAATTGTATGTTCAGAATTTTACGTAGAAAACCATATGGCACATTTGTATTTAATGTAAAACGTTTTTTTCTTCTTCTAGAACGTATGCAGGTTTTAAATCGTTTTATATTACGACAACTTTATTTTCATCAACCCTACCATGTGTATTTTAATAATATCTTCTGTTTATAAAAACAGACGGAGAAGATGAGCGCACGTGATCCTGTACAAAAAGAGGCAGCAACCCAAAAGAAAGAGGCAAAGCAGAACCAGGCAGAGCTAGATAAGCAGATGGCGCGTGAACACAACGCGGCAGTTAAAGAATCTACCACGGCAGCCCAAATGGGCCAGGCCCACCACAACACGGGGACTGGAACCACCACATACCCTACCACGGGGACTTATGGACAGCCCATGGGGGGCCACTATAGCACGGGGACCGGAACCGGGACCGGAACCGGGACCGGAACCGGGACATACTCTACGACAGGAAATCATGAACATCACACTGGGGCCCATGAGGTGTCAGCCATACCTGGACATCCGAGTGACCATGTGAGAGAGGGAGTGGTGGGCACGCACACTATTGGTACCCATAGAAGCACAGACGGGACTGCTACGGCCCATAATACCCGGGTTGGTGGAAATCCAAATGCCACAGAGTATACAACTGGTGGTACTTACAAGTGAACAAGTATTACAAATACACTAGGAACTAAATAACACAAATAAGTTTGGTTTATGTGCTTAGCGAGTGTCATTGTTTTTCTATTCCGATTGTCTTTGTAACTTGTTTTGTATCATTTCCTTTTCTGTTTTGGTATAAGCTTGTGGATGTTGTTTCCTTTTCTGTTTTGGTATAAGCTTGTGGATGTTGTGTTCCTATTAGTAATATAGTACGTGGAACATTATGTAATTTTATTGTGTTTAAATAAATATGTTCTGTAAAAGTAAAATAAGTTTTTTTCTTTTTTACAAAAATACTAACAAGAGTTTCTTAGTATTAATAATTAAGATATGATTGTTATATTCTTCCAAAGAAATTATAGTTGAAAAGAAACACAAATGTCATTGGACAATTGATTTATACAATATATTATGTTCATTTTCTGCTTTATTAAAAATGCCGCCACTTGCCTTTCTTGCATTATTTCCTTGCTAATAACTAGCATATCTCATATCTAATAATTAAGTGCCATGGAGATGTGAGAGAAATGGTCTTTGGTACAAAGCTTTTTTAATATATGGAGAGGGTAATAAGATTGACAGAAGCGAGGGGAGAGAGAGCTCTCTTTGGTGGGCCGAATTCGTGAAATGCTGGAAATTAAATCAAGCAGCATAGACTATAACTTAACGCTTTGGTCGAGTTGCACTGAGTTGTCATGGTTAGTCTGTCTTTTCGCGCGTGGTATTTCAGTTGGGTGGATCGCTTCATAGGCTGTTCTGCAGGATTCAACACGTCGTTTTCATATATTTTGTGGTCTCTGGTGTGGGGCAGCCGTGTCTTTTTGCTTGCAGTATCGACACTGTCTCATATGTGCATTGTTCTTGTTGGCAAATTGGTCATAGCGCAGTTGAAGTCTCCGGATCTAGCAAAGAGGTTTGGGAACTGGTTTTGCAGAGGTGCAGGACTGCCTGTTTCGATTTCGGTTGGTAGGTGCTATGTTTCCTGTTTTGGGGCATGAACTTGGCTGTAGGTGTATTGCTTTTTTTTTGGGTGTTGTTCAGTAATTAATTTTCGTTTTGGAGGTGATACCTTGTGTTTTTTGCTCCTGTTACTGATGTTGGATAATTGTTTTACCGTTGAGTTCTTGTTGTTCTGATGGCATGTCTTATGCCTTTTCCTTATCTAATATTATTTTTTTGCCTCTTCAAAAAAAAAGTATTATTATTGTTCTTGACTGGGTGTGCCTTAGTCCAAAACATAAATAAAGGTTCAAATCCAAACAATTTCTCGAGCTATGCTCGGAATCAGACCACCCCGAGCATATTCAGTTACAGGCCACAACGATTATGCCCGCTGCTACCCGCAGCGAGCAGCGTCCCCGACTCGAGCCTTGCTCGAGCATCCTCTCCGTAGGGTAGACTCAATCCCCTCCGGATGTTGCAGAATCCTTAGAGCTCCGAGAAGGCCGCGTCTTCGTTCTTCCTCATTCTTCGCAGAGCACCATCCAGGAAGGGGACCACGTGCGGGTCTCCACTACACACGTAGAACTTGGCAGTCCCTTTGTTGGGTCAGCTCTAGTCGGCCCAATAAAGGGACCTTGGTTCAGCGCTGGGGGCTATAAATACCCTATATTTCAAGAGGGTCAGGTATTCATTTTTTACGCACCTACATACTATTTGCATGCCAATTCCATCTCTCATTTTATCATCGGATTGTCTTGCAGGTATCCTCCATTTCATTTAAATCCAGTTCGAGTCAGCTGTGATGGTTCAATTCTGATCCGGTAAGATAGTGGCGCCGTCTGTGGGAAATAAAGCTTTCCCGTCTTACAAACTTTCAAAGACTAAAAGCTAAAACCATCTTCCACCGTCATGGCTGATCAGATTCAAGACAATCAGAACGCTCGTGTCGTCGAGGCCTGCAATAACTTCGCCGATAACAACGTCGGCGTCACAGCGCATGTTATTACTCCCGGTGGCAACATCCTTGGAATCTCCAACTACCGGGATGGAGCCACTGCTTCGTCTTCATCAGTCCTCCTTCGACTCCAAGAAGATAATCCGGTTCCCCCGAACCATCAAGCCGCTCAATTCCATGAAATTCCTGTCCCCGTCGGGGCCGACGCCACGACCAAGATACTGTTCGCGACAATCAACCAGATCAACTACCTCATCTTTGCCCAAGAGGAAAGACTGAGAGCACTAGAGGTGGACAGAAGGCCCCCGAGGAGACACAGGAGGCCTCAATCCCCACTTCCTCGAAGAATGGAGGAACGTCTCCGATCTCCCTCGCGGAGACAAGATAGAGGCATCTCTCGAAGCCCGTCACCCCGACCACCAGGGAGGCGACCCGCCTTGAAGAGAGAGCCAATCGTTGAAGTCGGAAGGCACGACCACGGTCCTTCATGGCAGGAACAAAGGCATCCTGGAGACGGGCACGGAGGGACGTGTCAATGGGCGCACCGCTCGAGGAACGTCCAGCACGATCAGGGTCGTCGTGTCTGACAATACCTCAGGTCCCCATCCCTCTCCCCGGAGCGAAGTGATGAGGACGACCCCCGCGGTCCCCTATCACAAGCCATCATGGAGGCACCCATTCCCCTAGGCATGGAGAAGCCTCCTCATTTGAAAGAATATGATGGAGTCGTCGACCCGGTCGATCACATAGATGGCTTCGAGGCTATGATGCACTACCATAACGTAGGGGGACCCATCAAATGTCGGTTGTTCCTCACAACCCTCAAAAAAGTGGCAATGGATTGGTACAAGGGTCTTGCCCCGGGGTCAATCACCTCGTGGTGAAACGAAAAACTAATTCATAAGCTCGTTCACCGCGTCACGGCGACATTCAAAGACTAAAGCGGTGCTCGAGGCCATCGTCCAGAGGCAGGATGAGACATTGAGAGAATTCATCAACCGCTTCAACCGTGAAGCCATCCAGGTCCCCTGCGCGTACCACATGAAAAGATACCTGCTGGAGAGGGGGCTCCTCCCCGGCACAGAGTTTAGGAAAGCAGTGGGCATCGAACCACCTCGAACGTTCGATGCTCTCCTTGAGAAGGCCAGAGCCTACATGGACTACGAAGAAAGGGAAGCGGCCAACAGAGCCCGTGACCCCAGGACTCACGGATCCAGTAGTAACTCGCGCCAAAAAGCCATTCCTCCTCGACGAACCGGAGAGAAAAGAAAAGATGACAAACCCCTGGACGTTCGAGAACAGAGAGGACCCTCGGGGCATTTCAGAGTACACTCTGCTCACGTCTTCCTGCGAGCGCATCTTGGTGGAGTGTGCCAATACAGATTTCAAAGATGGCGGTGTCAAGCGCTCCCGATCAGCTCCTGCCAAGCCTGGGGTGGACAGGAGCAAATATTGTCAATACCATAGGAGCCATGGCCATCTGACTGAAGACTGCGTCCACCTCAAGGACGCCATCAAGACCCTCATTAAAGGGGGGAGACTCGCCCAGTATCGGCGAAACGATGCTCCTCGTCACGATGCCCGTGAGACAAGAGAAGCAGAGGAGGATGGCCGACCATCTGACGAGTCGGTCCCCATCCAGACCGCTTTTTCCGTCACCAGACCCGAAGACTTTTACGTCCCCGAACACTTGCAAGAGCCGCTGTTGACGCACAGTAGATGGCAGCACTTTCCCTCCGCTATGGTCATCAATGGTGGAGGGTTCAACGACCTGACCATAAATTCAGCCAAGAGGAAGTTGGATGAATTGGTCGACACTGTACCCCTTCAGACGGTAGCCTTTGAAAGGGTGAAGGGTAGATCGGAGTCTATCACCTTTCACCTCTAAGAGCTCCCCGGAGGGGCCCCCAGCGCGGTCATTTCTCTGCTGATGAGAGCGAGAATGGCGAATTTTGACGTACATCGTGTCCTCGTCGATGAAGGAAGTTCCGTCAACGTAATGTACAGTCAACTATTTTGAACCCTGTAGCTCGACGACTCGCACCTCTCACTTTATGTGGGGTCAGACCTGCAGGGCTTTAACGGTTTGACTTCCAAACCTTGGGGATACGTCGAGCTCATGGTTACCTTTGGTGAGGACACAACAACGAGGCAGGTCAAGGTGCGTTTCATTGTCATTGACTGCCCTTCCCTCTACAACTGCATTCTGGGAAGGCTGACATTGGCAAAACTGACCGCGGTACCCTCTTTCGTTCACTTGAAGATGAAGTTTTGCATCAAGAGGGCACGGGTCACCACCATCCAAGGGGACCTGGCAGCTGCCCGAAGGTGTTTCAACGCGGCGTCCAAGGGACGCAATACGGTCGACACTGGTACAAGGCCCTCCAAGAGAGCTGCAACGACACGACCAGAGCCTTAGAAGACAGATCCCGTCAAGGTAGAAGAGCAGAGAGCTCCCCCAAAGGTTGACTCGATAGCCCTGGACACCCGCTTCGACCAGGATGAGCCTTCCAGTGGCGAGCAAGTCCCCCTTCGACCAATTCCAAACGGAGACTTCGAATTCGTCCCTCTTGGCGAGGACGCGAGCAAAGGAGTGAAGATCGGTACCGACCTCCTCGACTTGGAGAGGAAGCAAATCAAAGCCTGCTTGCGCGAGAATGCAGACTTATTCGCGTAGAGCGCCACAGAGATGCCTGGACTCGACCCCGAGGTTGCCTGTCACCGCCTCGCCATAGTTCCAGCCGCTAGGGCGGTAGTACAACGTAGGTGTAGGCAGTCTCCGGAGAAAATGGAGGCTGCTGAAAAAGCTGTAAAAGACCTCCTAGAGGCAAATTTTATTTCTGAAGCCCAGTATTCGACCTGGCTGTCAAATGTTGTACTAGTCAAAAAGAATAATGGAAAGTGGCAAATGTGTGTTGATTATACTGATCTCAATTGGACATGCCCGAAAGATGCATTTCCTTTACCCAACATAGACATGCTGGTCAACAACTTGGCCGGTTATAAAATATTGTCGTTTATGGATGTCTATTCAGGCTATAACCAAACCCCAATGGTCGTAAGTGACAAACATTGCACTGCTTTCATGACCAGCTCGGGCAACTATTACTATAATGTGATGCCCTTTGGTCTAAAAAATGCGGGAGCAACATACCAACGTATGATGAACAAAGTGTTCCACAACCAAATCGGGGACATGCTCGAGGTGTATATGGACGACATGATTGTCAAATCCCGAGCAGACACCGACCATGCCGCTCACCTCAAAGAAGTCTTTGCTCAAGCAAGACGATGCAAGATGAAATTTAACCTCGAGAAGTGCACGTTTCAGATCAAGGCGGGAAAATTCTTCGGCTTTTACCTGACGGAACATGGAATTGAAGCCAACCCTGACAAATGTCGGGCCTTCTCTGACCTCTCCACACCCACATCAAAAAAATCCATGCAAGTCATGAACGACATGCTCACCTTGTTATCCCGTTTCGTTGCGAGATCCGCTCAGCACGCTTTCCCCTTCTTCAAGCTCCTTCGCAAAGAAGCAGCCTTCGAATGGACCGAGGAATGCGAGCAGGCGTTGCTCCATCTCAAACAAATTCTATCCCAATTTCCCGTACTATCACGACCCGTCAACGGGGAACCTCTGTTCTTGTATCTGGCCGTCTTGATTGAAGCCATCAGCGCGACCCTCATTCGCGAGATGTCTGACGGACAAAAGCCCGTCTATTTCACGAGAAAAGCATTGCAAGGGCCAGAGGTCAGATACCAAAAGATAGAGAAAGTAGCTCTAGCCCTCGTCAACGCGGCGAGGAGACTCAGACACTATTTTCTCGCGCACTACGATCATAGTATGAACTGACCAGCCAGTGAAACAGATCTTAGGTCGACCTGACATGGCAGGTCGAATGTTGAAGTGGTCCTTGGAACTCTCTTAGTTCGACATTCAATACGAGAGCAGGAAAGCCCTAAAGGCACAAGCTCTGGCCGATTTCGTCACAGAAATGACCGCTCAGAACCCCCCGCAGGGAAAGAGCACAAGTGGACCATCTTCGTCGACGGAGCTTCCAACTCATTCGGAAGCGGCGCGGGGATCCTCCTAGAAAA